AGATTTACCAGCCATTTAAATATACGTATTTCTACCATAACCAGTCAATATGACTGGTGTATAAAAAAATGCTTAACTGAGTTTCCAGTCTTTATTCACTCTTAAAAAATGGTAAAAAGAATTCAACAATATTAATTTTTATACAAAAATGGATTTATGGACATTGTCAAATAACAAAACACTCAATTTTTATAGTTTATCGCTCACAATTTCTACAGATGTAGATTTTGCTTTTTGTACACTTTCCGCATAGACTTTTCTTGCATTTATTGCAAATATTTGTAGTCTTATTGTTATTGCAATATCCTATTTGACACCATTTGCGCACAGAATCCGTGCCAGCGGTAGTTGATATATCAGCTTGGTGTGGTTTTTGCCTTGAAGTCTGATATTCTGAAGCAAGTTCTTCTGCTAATCGAAACAGAAAGTCTTTCCGTGAGATATTTTCTCCTGTTGTGTTTTTGTATAATATCCAGCTATTTATTCCGGCTAAATCTAAAATATTGAAAAACACTTGAAGTGGCCACCTTCTGCAATCAGACTTCACCGTATATTTTCGTGCCATTTGATCAGTCACATCGACGCCAAATTTAGTTTTATTATAAAACAATACAGTTTCAGGTATTTTTTAGTTGCTTTATCAATTTTGATGTTTTTATGTTTTGTACTTAGTAAAAGTACTTTTTTATTTGGTTTGCTCTTATAAACAGTAAGTGTGCATCCATTAGATTGGTACAACAACGTCGAGAAACGTGCCATGCTGTCTTTTTTCAGTTTGCAAATTTTCGGCAGTTCCCTCTTGTTTGCGCGTATTGTTCCAAGTAACGAAGTGTTTTTAGATCGTAATTTCAACGCCAAAGGAATACTTGTAAAAAAATTATCAGTTGTTACAGTTCTACCCTTCATGGTGTATGGTTCAAGAAGTTTCATTACGACAAATTCGCTTAGGGGAGTTGATGCATTTCGAGTCTCGTCTTTTCCTAAATATGGAAAGCCATTTACCACATATTTTGTTTCTACATCAGACGCTAACCAAAATTTGATGCCAAATTTATGGGGTTTGTTTGGCATATACTGAGTAAATCTGCATCTGGCCTTCGTTGGAAAAAGTTGCTCATCCACAGTAATAGAAGCTCCCGGTTTGAAGCAATTTTGACTGTTTTCAATAAATTTATCCCAAACTGCTGAGACTAAAGCGAACTTGTCTGTTTGCAAACGTTGACTCCTCTGATTTCTTTTATCGAACCGAATGTATCGTAAAATATCTGTAAAATCTCGTCTACTCATAGTGCTAGAAAAAAATGATGGTCCCCATTTTTTATTCCACAAATATTGAAGTCTCAAAGTATTTCCTTCGTATGCCCCACGTGCGTACAATATTGCAAGAAATGCCTTCAATTTTTCTTGCGTGATTATCCAGGTTTTCCCCAAAACTCGAGAGGCTTCTAGCTCTGTACAAATTTTCGTTTTGACATTTTTAGGGGCTAAGGATATGCAGGCTACTTGCTGAAGAACATATATTTGAATATTTTTCAAATACTCATAAATGTTTATTACGTGTCACTGTATGGGTAAAGATGAATGATTACGTTTGGAGATCGCTTGGACTAAGTACTCGTAAAAAAATCGTATAGTTACCGTAATCGCCTAAATCGGCTCGATAACGATAACGTAATGAACAAAAGAAGCATGGGCACTATTTGTATTTTCACGGTCTCATGATTCTCCCGAAATCATACATTTCTTCCTAGAAACATGCACCAGTCATTTTGACTGGTTCTGGTATAAATAGTTATAACAAAAAATATATTTGTTACTAACATTATATAAAGTAAAATTAAGTTCATAAAATGTATTCTCTACTTATACCTACAAAAGTTATAACATCAATTTGGAAAGCAAATATTTAATGTAGTAGTAATTTTGAATTGAAGTTGCACGACCAGTCAAAATGACTGGTCTGGTAAATCTAGTGTAATAAGCCACTGTTGTTACATAATGTTAAACTTGAAAAATCACTAATATGAAAAAGTAAAACATTTCACACACGATTTCGCTCTTAGCGTTCCCGCCAAAAAATCCCAATCGGACATCTTGAAGCCTGTCAAAATGACATTGAGTAATTACATAGAGTATGTAGAAGTTCTATTTTTACACATGGGGTGCATGGTGTTATTAATTATTAATATTTTTCTGACAGATATGAGTAGAAGAATTATTATTTCAATAATATCTTTAAAAGCACTCCACGTTTTTTTTACAATAATAAATATATTCTTTTACACTATTTTCAATTTAAATTTATTAAAATTTATTTTCTATATTTTTAGTTGAATTTTATTTAAAGCGTGTTTTTTAGTTTTTTTAAACTATTATTTATTCCAAATGGAAAGGCAAAGGTATCATACCATGCAGCCTAAACTATTATTATTTTTTTATGAAAAAAATTATAATATGAAATGAAATGAAGTTGATTAATTTGGAACAATAATCAATTGACATGAAATTAAATGAGATGATGTGGGATGAAATATAATCTCAGTAAAATATTGGTTATTTACAGAGACTTTTTCAGTGGACTTTTTTGATGATCCCGCGAAGCTACGTCCAGTGGCTTTGTTTCATTTTGAGCGATTACATAGATATACATGAACATATAGTTTTTTTTCTAAGATTTTATGGCCTAGTAACGAGTCTTTTAAGCCTATAGATATACATATACATTTCGCCGGAGTCCGACCGACGTGTAAGCATGGTGCTAGGGACCACCAGCCTGGAGTTGATCAATTGTCGAATAAACTATTGTTTTTTAGGATACACTGTTTCTTTCTCGATACATACGCTGGGTACATATCGACGCTTGAGAGGCAAACGTGACTAAGCGACAATAACTGCTTTGTACATAAATGATAGGCAATAACCGTATTCGATGCGCAAAAAAATATATATTTCTAGGTCTATTAAAGTCATTTCAATCCTACAGCTAGATTCGTTAAAATAGATTTTTTTTCAGGTATTTCTTTTTTTTTTATTGCCCGTTGTAGGCAGACGAGCATACGGCCCACCTGATGGTGAGTGGTTACCGTCGCCCATGGACTTCAGCAATGCCAGGTGCAGAGCCAAGCCGCTGCCTACCGCAACTATGCCTATTTCAAGTTTAAATTAGTCTACTGTAAATTTCACGCATTATTGCTTAGTCACGTTTGCCTTACAAGCGTCGATATGTTCTCCGGACTAAGGCCGCCGCTATTGCCCTCATCCGACACAGATATACATACAGCTAGAGGTGGCTTACAAAATGAATATATCGCCTTTTCGCATTAAAAGTGTACAATTTCCAAAAATATTCGAAATTGAGTTAATATGCGTAAACATTTAGGTATCACCAGTATTAATAACTCATAAATACTCATGTAAAGCTTTCCTTCTTTAAGAACGGTTAGCTGGTAGATAGCTCAATTTTGGAGTTAAGCTCGCCATTTTTTATATCTTATCGTAATTACTGTATTAACTGTGTGTACAAATAAAGAAATACTGTCAAAAGAGCGTAGTTTAGTTTTTGTTTTTTTTTTTACTTTACCTATGTTTTGACTACTATTAAAAAAATTAATACATAATTTTATCTTACTTTAAAAGACAGATAATGTGACTGGTAAAAAATAAAAAAATACCAGCTGCAATTATGATTAATATTCTATACTAGCTGACAAGGTAGACTTCGTACTTAGTGCCTCAATCGATAAATAAAATACCTAAACTTTTGTATAAAATAAACTTAAAACAAACAAAAGGAATCCGTCCGACGGGGGACACATCAAAGGAAAAACAAAATTGTTATTTTTATTTAATTCCGAACATTTTCATATTTATTTACATTTTAAACCTTCTTTGGACTTTCACAAATAATTCAAGACAAAAAAATTAGCCAAATCGGTCCGGCCGTTCTCGAGTTTTAGCGAGACTAACGAACAGCAATTCATTTTTATATATATGGACATTACATGTTAAACCTTTAAAACACTCTCCTGTAAAATTTGTAAGTTTTTTAGATTATACAGTTTTAATGCGAGATGACGATATGTGAAAGTAATATTAGAGATCCGAATTTTATACCGAAAATCGTTTTTTTTTGGTATTTCTGTAAAGTAGAGGTCCCGTAGTAGTCGAAATTCGACTATAATTAATTGGAATTGTAAGTTTGTACACTATTATGATTGTATTTTATACTTCTATAAACACAAATTTCGCCAAAACTACACTATAAAAAATACTAACAAAGACAAACAATATTTAATCTATTCTCAATTTGACCACAGACGTCAAGAACAAAAGTTTGACAATAAATGTATGCATGCGTGTGTGCGTCAAATACATGGTATGTAGTGTGTGTAACGTTTTCTTTATTGATTTAATGTATATTTTATGTATTATTTAAAAAAAATATTAGCATTGTGCACTTCTTCTCTATATTCTCTATAAGTGTAGAAAATTTCATACTCCTCCGTCCGCGCAATTTTCGTAAAAAGGGATACAAAGTTTTTGCTTCACGTATTAATATATAGATGACTAACGTTCACTAAACAATAAGATTCCGTTATCGACGGATACCGAGAAAATGACAATTAAAAATAAAAGCAATTACAAAATATATTCATAAAATGCAAACGAATCATTTTCTGTACATCATACAACAGTTTCTTTTCCCTAACTCCAGATTCAAAAACGCGTTCAAATGTAAATGCTTTAGGGGCACAGCTCGCTGGCGTTGCGGACCGTGGACCACACCACACTAATTTTAATGTTAAGATCAGTACGATGTTTCCCGTTTGACCATTTTTATTTCCGAAGGTGGTAGGACCTCTTGTGAATCAGCGCGGGTAGGTACCACCACCCCGCCTATTTCTGCCGTGAAGCAGTAATGCGTTTCGGTTTGAAGGGCGGGGCAGCCGTAACTATACTGAGACATTAGAACTTATATCTCAAGGTACGTGGCGGCATTTATGTCGTAGATGTCTATGTGCTCCGGTAAACACTTAACACCAGGTGGGCTGTGAGCTCGTCCACCCATATAATGGATAATAGGGTCATCGGAGGCAGGGTTACATGTTAGTTGTCCTCGCGGCGTCGTGCAGCGGTTCGCGGGCTCCCGGCGCGCGTCTCTATCAGCACGTGTTGACTCCGTGCTCGTCCTCGATGTGCCGCCTGAAGTCGTGTCTCGAGCTGGACTCGAACCCGCACGCACCGCACACCAGCACGTCGGCCGCCTCCACCTCTTCAGTGTTCAAGCGTATCGTCTCTGTGTACGTACAACGATCTCTTACAATGCGCGCAATGGAAAACAAACTGAGGACGAGGCTAGTCACGGAGTCAATGACCTCACGGTGCTATACATTGCGAGGCAACTGTCATCACTTTAGGTTTTTTATTTTTATGGCTGATGTTAAGTGGTTACCGGAGCCCATAGACATCTACAACGTAAATGCCGCCACTCACTTCGAGATATGAGTTCTATGGTCTCAGTATAGTGACAACGGCTTCGAACCGAAATACATTACTACTTTAGGCAGGATGGTACCTACCCGTGCGGACTCAGATCCTACCGTCAGTAGATCGAGACTTCAGTTCCGAATAACAACGAAAAAAAAAAAAACTACCCTACGAAACGTAACACACAACTGATATATATTTACCCGGGGCGGTCGTGCAGTGCGCTTCCTGCACGTGCTTCGCGAGCTGAAACAATAACACGGAGGTCTTTGAAGGGTTCGTAACTCCATTTTTGTTTGATAGCCTATGAGGTTAATCCAGCTACGCGCGGACGGTGGGTGAGCTCACGGGCTCAATCTGAGAGAGCTTGCTAACACTAGCCCTAACAAGAGCAGTGCTTCGCAGGATCTACCATCGAATCAGAAACGCGATCCGCTGAGAAGAACCGGCGAGAAAGTTATTTATTTATTTATGTACACACAAAAAGAAGACACAGTACAGAGTAATAGGAAAATTATGTACAAAGGCACTGCATATTTCTTTAAGAAATCTCTTCCAGCAGACCTGCGAGAGGATTATGAGAATATTAATTAAAAGTGATGAGTGTGTGTGTGTAGAACAGCTAAAATAACAAATACAACATGAGAATTATGGTAATGCACATACACATAGCAAATATTGTTAAACTTGAAACTTAGTGGGCTGTGCTTTTTGTGTACCCATTTTTTTGAAATAGATAACGGGCGAGCAATGTACTGCGCGCACTTGTGTCCCGGTCACCGTCCTCGCCGAATCCGGGTACAGCGAGTAAATTAACCCATAGACACAGCCCACTGAGTTTCTGGCCGGATCTTCTCAGTGGGTCGCGTTTCCGATCCGGTGGTAGATTGTGCAAAGCACTGTTCTTGCTAGGGCCAGTATTAGCAACACCTCTGGTTTGAGCCCCGAGAGCTCACCTACACGCTAGGGCAACGCTGATATAGCCTCTTAAGGCTATCAGCACAGGTAGGGGAAAAGAAATAAACGGTGCGCATGCAACTTGGTGCACGTGAATGAAGTGAAACTTCTTTTCGATGTGTAGTACTGTGGTTTTCTTCATCTTTCATCCTTAAATCAAATTGCTCTTGTAATAGGGAATCTATACTAATATTATAAAGAGGAAAGATTTGTTTGTTTGTTTGTTTCGAATAGACTCCGAAACTACTGGACCGATTTGAAAAATTCTTTTTCCATTACAAGCCGACATTGTCCCTGATGAACATAGGCTACTTTTTTTTATTTATTTTTTTATTTTTTGGTTTCATGTGTGTTTTAATGTTTCCGAAGCGAAGCGAGGGCGCGTCGCTAGTGGTGTATATAAGAGATGCGACATCTTCAACGTTTATATTATATATAGTTTAAATTATAGATTGTAAAATAAATAAATTAATATATTTTTTTAAATACTTCATTAATTTATTGGATGTTACTCGTTGCTAACGCTCGCGCTGGCCTGTAGCAGATATACTACGCGCGTGCGTTCGAGTGCCACGCATTCACTCTCGCTCTGTCTCTTTCTATCCCCCCTCCCCAGGAGCGTTCAAAGTTTAACGCAACCTTGTCGGAAGTCGCATTAGAAGTTTCACTTCGAATAAATATTAGTTTAAAAAAAAAAAAATTATGCTTTTATAGAAAATCCCACTAAAAAATAGAAACGCTTTTTTTTACAATAAAATCATTTTTTCTTACACTATTTTCAATTCAAATTTATTAAAATTTATTTTCTATTTTTTTAGTTAGATTTTCTATAAAAGCGTATTTTTTGTTAGTTTTTTAAACTATTATTTATTTTTTAGTTGATTTCAATATTTTTTAAATGTTGAATTGTCATCGGTCCTTAATAATTATGCTAAATTTCGAGTTAATCCGACGTTTTGAAGGGGGTCAGAATCATATTCAAAGATTCCGTTACGTACATACATACATACGTCTGAAGCTAATAAAAGCGTATTAATAATACGACTTCTGCACGGTGACCAATACGCTTGACTCGCCGCTCTCTCCCCTCAGCTGCTGCTCTCTGTCCCCTAGCTCACAAGTGCTAATGCTAATAAAAACGTATCGAAAAATGAGTGTACCTGCGTGTGCGTGTCGGCCAGCAGCGGACAGCGCGCGCACTGCAGCGTGACGGCGGCGCCGCGCCCCCCGCCCCGCGCCCGCGCCGCGCCGTGGATCGCCGCCTGCACGCACGCAGACACTACATTACCCCCGAATCCTGATCACGCAGGAGCCAGTCGCCGTCGACGCCCTAGACACGTCCTTACGGATCCATCAGATCCAATAACCTTTGCATTAGACGCCTTCAGCTCTAACACTAGGAGCAGGCTTAGGGACCCCGGTAACCGTACTCGTCGAACTCGACAAAGAGTTCGCCGTGCAACCTAACCCATGAATCAGCTCGCTGAGTTTCTCGCCGGATCTTCTCAGCGGGTCGCGATTCCGATCCGGTGGTAGATTCATTCGCGAAGCAGCCGCTCTTGAGCTGTTAGGTCTCCTTCGGAGGCGCTCGGGTAGCTGTTAGCAAATCCCACCCCTCCTGGCTGAGCCTTTGCTCGCCCACCTGTCCTGGTGAAACTGGAAAAACCTCCGGGCCACCAGTAGTACTTCAATCATAAAAAAAAAACAACAACAACATTACTCAACCAATCTTGCTAGGGCCAGTGTTAGCAACACTCCGGTTTGAGCCCCGTGAGCTCACCTACATGTTAGGGCGAAGCTGAAATAGCCTCTCAAGGCTATCAGCATAGGTAGGTAAAAAAAAGAAGGACAGAAATACTTCCTATTTAAATAAATAGTTGAGAATTTATATACTGCATATTTTAAATGTAGTAATAAAAATGAAACCCGCAAAATTACAATTTGCGCAATTACTGGTGGTAGGACCTCTTGTGAGTCCGCGCGGGTGGGTACCACCACCCTGCCTATTTCTGCCGTGAAGCAGTAATGAGTTTCGGTTTGAAGGGCGGGGCAGCCGTTATAACTATACTGGGACCTTAGAACTTATATCTCGATGTGGGTGGCGCATTTACGTTGTACATGTCTATGGGCTCCAGTAACTACTTAACATCAGGTGGGCTGTGAGCTCGTCCACTCATATAAGCAACAAAAAATAAAACCAACACAAATTTAAATCACTACTTGGTGTGTTCACAAAACAATATCGGCCCTACCTTATGCTCTGACATTTCCTTGATGGAGTTACACTTGAAGGGACACATCTTGCACGCGTACAGGAACAGCTTGAAGTTGGGCGAGGCCAGCAGCTCGTGGGGCGGCGGGAGGTCGCTCTTCCGCTTCCGGCCCCTCCGCCGGGGAGCCGCCTGGGCTATGGTGGCCCTGCAACAAGCAGACCCGGACTCCATACTTCGCATACGATTCCAAACTTACCAAGATCCAGCTTACTAGTCAACCAAGCCAACTAGGCACCTAGAGTTCATTACGTCACGCGAGTTTCTGATAGGGTTAGTGAAAATTAAAAAAAAAAAAAATTATAGCTTAGATGGGTGGACGAGCTCACAGTCAACCTGGTGTTAAGTGGTTACTGGAGCCCATGGACATCTACAACGTAAATGCGCCACCTATCTTGAGATATGAGTTCGAATGTCTCAGTATAGTCACAACGGCTGCCCCACCCTTCAAACCGAAACGCATTACTGCTTCACGGCAGAAACAGGCGGGGTGGTGGTGCCTATCCGTGCGGACTCACAAGACGTCCTACCACAAGTAATTACGAAAATTATAATTTAGCGGGTTTGATTTTTATTACACGATGTTATTCCTTCACCGTGGAAGTCAATCGTGAACATTTGTTAAGTACGTGTATTTCATTAGAAAAATTGGTACCCGCCTGCGGGATTCGAACACCGGTGCATCGCTACATACGAATGCACCGGACGTCTTATCCTTTGGGTCACGACGACTTCAAAATGGCCAATGACGTGGCCAATCAATTACAGACGCAGTACTCACTTGACTTTCTGTAATGCTTTAGCCTTTTCCAATATCTCGGTGGCAGACGGCACCTTCTTCTGAAAGGGAAACAGCATATTATAGTGATTCTTGTAAAACAATTCACTACATAGACTATCATAGAGACGGGTGCACGAGCTCACGTGCTATGTGGCATTAAGTGGTCATATCTCATGGATATCACGGCGTGAATCATGTGTAGGCATACAGTTTGTTATGTAAAAAAAATTGTGCGTAGTCATAACATAGATAATACACATAAATTAGTTATAGATAAGTAACTCGAGCACTCAACAAAAATGTTTACGGGCATCGGCCACCAGATGGCTTCACTTCGATTAGTTTCTCATTGCTCCCGTAGATGGCGGTAACATATTACCTATCCTATATTTAATGAAGGATTTTGTAAATTTTCAGAAACCACAAATTGATAAAATTTAATCAATTTGTCTATAACAAATAATGACTTGTGTGATTTTTTATTTTTTATTTTCTGTGTTTAATTATACAATAATTAAAAGCCTAACTTTAACAACATATAAGTTTAGGGGCATCCGCTAAAAGATGTCGCTAGTTTCCATACACAACAAATATTTGTCTTAAAGTATCGCAATTTCAAGGCCCTAGGAGTAACCAGTTGTGTTATTTAATTATTATAATTATCTCACTTCCGATAACGACCTGAAACATTAGTCAACACTACCAACATAACAGCCAAACATGCATCCAAATCAAATTAATTTTTTTCTATTCAAAATAAATGAAAGTACATACTTGTCGAACGTCAAAAGAACTACCGCCAATTCACAAGAACTAGCCTCCGTCCTGAGAAGAATTGGCAAGAAACTCAGCGGGCATGTTTTTTTTTTTAATATTAGTTAAAAATTTTAATATCTATTACAATTTTTTTCCACCTTATCCTCCTCAGTCATCCAGCTTGAGACATGAGGTAGCAGAAGTAAGCTGGACCGGTCCAGTTAATAGTTGTGTGGATGATAAAGTATAACTTACTTGTGTAACATGCACCACTTGTGTCTCGTCCTTTTTCTGCTGCGAGTTGACCTGGGGCAGAGCAGACTGCAGGAAGAACAACGGACCCTGACCGTTGTCGCTGTCCACCATAACGTACTCTTGGTTATCGCGATCTGAACAATAGAAATCAATAATAGATTTTGGTCCGGTCTCAACCCAAAGGTTTTGGGGGGTCGGCAATTTTTTTTTATATTTAGGGCAAAGTCGTATGAAGTCGTCGTGGCCTAACGGATAAGACGTCCGGTGCCTTCGTGTTGAGCGATGCACCGGTGTTCGAATCCTGCAGGCGGGTACCAATTTTTCTAATGAAATACGTACTTAACAAATGTTCACGATTGACTTCCACGGTGAAGGAATAACATCGTGTAATAAAAATGAAACCCGCAAAATTATAATTTGCGTAATTACTGGTGGTAGGACCTCTTGTGAGTCCGCGCGGGTAGGTACCACCACCCTGCCTATTTCTGCCGTGAAGCAGTAATGCGTTTCGGTTCGAAGGGTGGGCCAGTCGTTTAACTAGATACTTGAGACCTTAGAACTTATAACTCAAGGTGGGTAGCGCATATACGTTGTAGGTGTCTATGGGCTCCAGTAACCACTAAACAACAGGTGGGGTGTGAACTTGTCCACCCATCTAAACAATAGAAAAAAAAAATAAAAAAAAAAAAGATTTAGCAGATCGTAATACGCCACACCATCCCTATCTAAGGATCGCCATAAATTTTCTCTCTACTGAAGGGTCGTAGTTGGAAAAAGTTTGAGCACCACTGACCTACAATGGAATACAAAACTATACCAGTGCACGAATCGTTTAGGTGCTATATTAATGTAATCTGTTTTTTAATCTAACCACATAATCATCTGAGAACTGTGAAGGCGTTAAATGAACCAAGTTTGATGTGGTAATGTAACTATACATCTACGATGGAACAAATCAAATCAAATAAAAAAAAAATTATTCAACATAAATGAAAGTACATACTTGTTGAACGTCAAAAGAACTACCGCCAATTCACAAGAACTAGCCTCCGTCCTGAGAAGAACTGGCAAGAAACTCAGCGGGCATGTCTATTTTTTTTTTTTTAAATATGAAATTATTATTACTAGAGGTCCCGTAGTAGTCGAAATTCGACTATAATTAATTGGAATTGTAAGTTTGTACACTATTATGATTGTATTTTATACTTCTATAATCACAAATTTCGCCAAGGCTACACTATAAAAAATATTAACAAAGACAAACAATATTTAACCTATTCTCAATTTGACAACAGACGTCAAGAACAAAAGTTTGACAATAAATAGTATGCATGCGTGTGTGCGTCAAATACATGGTATGTAGTGTGTGTAATGTTTTCTTTATTGATTTAATGTATCTTTTATGGTATATTTAAAAAAAAAATTTGCATTGTGCACTCCTCTATATTCTCTAAGTGTGGGAAATTTCATACTCCTCCGTCCGCGCAATTTTCGTAAAAAGGGATACAAAGTTTTTGCTTCACGTATTAATATATATAGATTATTATTTTTAATATCAGATTTTTTTTAAATATGAATTTTTTGCAATTAGTATTATAACGTAACAATCTTCATACCTTCAGTATCGCTTGTCTGTAGGACACAGGTGACAGCATTCTCGCTACCCTCGCCTTCGCAGTCGTTGGCGAGCAGCTGATAAGATTCTTCACCATCTTGAGATCTGTCAAAAGTTAAAAAAAATCATTTTATTCAATGACTATGCCAATAACACTATATCATCTTTTCGAATTAAAAGTGTACAAATTTCCAAAAATATTCGAATTTGAATTAATATGCGGAAATATTTGGTATCATCAGTATTTTTCTCATAAATGCTGTCAAAAGAGCGTAGTTTAGTTTTAGTTTTTTGTAGTTTTCCTATGTATTGACTACTATTAACAAAATTAATACATAATTCTATCTTACTTTAAAAGACAGAACTGGTAAAAAATAAATGTTGCAAAGATTATATTAATATTAAAAATATCACATGTTAAACCTTTAAAAAACTCTCCTGTAAAATAAGTTTAGAGATTATACAGTTTTAATGCGAGAAGACAATATGCGGAAAATTTTCATCACTTGTGTTGTCCGAAGCTTACATAAAAAAGAGAGTATAAATTACCTGACAAGAGTTAAATTTAGCAGATCAAATTGTACAAGGCCTTTATCACCATCTATGACCTGCATGTATTGCTTCGACGAGCCACTACAAGACAGCTCCGTGAGGCTCTCAGTCTGCAGAAAAAAATGTTTAACATAAACATTAAACTTTGATAAAGGTAAACCATTTTTATTTTATATTTTGATTCAGATTTGTTCTGACTGTTGTAATGTAATAATATAGAGTCTAATGTTAGTAGTACTAATGCACAAAAGTATGTGGCCTAAATAGGCGTCTAATGAATTTCTAAGAGACTGCATCATAAGTTATTTCTATTATTTTCTGAACACCTGGTCAGTTGTGGATATCTCGCCTTTTCGCATTAAAAGTGTACAATTTCCAAAAATATTCGAAATTGAGTTAATATGCGGAATCATTTGGTATCACCACTATTTTTCTCATAAATACTGTCAAAAAAACGTAGTTTAGTTTTTTTTTTAATTTACCTATATTTTGACTACTATTAACAAAATTAAGACATCATTTTATCTTAATTTAAAAGACAGATAATGTAACTGGTAAAAATAAAATGTTGCAAATTTTGATTAATATAAAGAATATTACATGTTAAACATTTAAAACACTCTCCTGTAAAATTAGTAAGTTCTGAGATTATACGGTTTTAATGCGAGAAGACGATATGTATATGCCCGTTTATAATGCCACGTCCAAAAAAAGACCAGCGATTACTCTAATTGATACCTACTTCACCAATCTATTGTTTTCCACAGACATGATTTTATGGTCTGATGGCTATCTTTTTCCTCGTGTCTTGTTACTATATAGACCACAATAATTATTTAGACGAGTTAGACTGAATTACTAATTAATGCTGTTCCAATTTTCACTTTTACCAAAAATATATTTACCCTGTCACGGTCGAACGGGGTGACCTCAACAATCTGTAATTGTCCTGGAAAGATGAGGAATAAAATTACAATTTTGTTTTAAACATAGTTTGAATAAATTAATGACAAAGCTGTCTCAAGCAATTCCTCAGGGTGTGCATCATTGTCATTTCTATTATACCATACACCATATAGATATTTTTCTGAATAAATATTTGGACTTCTGTAAAGTTGACTAAAAGCTTACCATCTTTGTACTCAGCTGTCAAGATCTGGGGCTTTTGGTTGTCGTCACTTGAATCCGACATGATTCGTTCCACCTAAAAATTTGATATATCTTGATAAAGTTATAGGGAGCATTTTCAAGCTGTCACCCTTGAAATGAAGCTATCTTGTCTTTTCAATGAAGAATTATCGAAGATGTTCTTAGGATAGTTAAAATATTATCGATATTTTGAATTTTTGGTCGTCGTTAATAAACTTACAACCAAGATAATTAATATTTTTTGATGGTAAAAAAAGTTAGGGTGTGCCAGTTCATAGCGCATCCAATTTGACGTAACACTAAATAATATTGACATGGTCTTTTATTAAAAATTTTGCAATTTACCAAAAACTTCTACCCACTCCGATGTTACGTTATCATCACAAATCAAATATTCGTTAGTTATTATTTTAATACGTTAAAATCTGACAAACACATTAGGTACTTCATCAAATATGCAGGGACTTACGCCATATTCTTATTTACAATTTCTGTATGGGTATTCAGCTGTTTTAAGATGCGTGCAGTTTCAAAATGAATTTGTATAAATAAATTTGCATAGTGTGCATATCCACAATAAACAAACACACGTCATTTAAGTATGGGATTGCAAACGGAATTTTTTCTTGCAACACCCAAGCATTTATCGGTGTTTCTACTCTCCATAGGAATTTTAATATAGCAACAATCAATACTTACGGTTTAATGGCAACAATGGCGTGTTTAAACACAATTTGATAATGTTATAAACTGACAACTAAAAAAACTAACAACAAAATATTAAGTATGTCTCGGAAATAATCTTATGTCTTATTGTAAAACGTTTACGAATTGTATGCGCACGTTGACTCAAACGCTATTAATAAAGAACATCAAGCCATTTTGAAACTGAGTTGCCATACTAAAAAAAATTGTAGACTTTCTAAAGAGGAAAAAATAAATCCCTATAAATAAAACAAAATCCCATAAATGTTTTCGGTCTAAGCATGTAAATTTTTTTGTAATCCTCTCTAAATTAATTAATTGTTATTTATTAAATACAATAATATCATAATTTAGTATTCCATTTTTTTTTTTTTTGTAAACACTTTTCCTTGTTTTAGAACAAAAAATTATTTAGTAATTTAGAATAAAACAAACGAAACTTGCATTTTAAAACATAGGTAGTATTAATATACTTACTTCTAATAGTTTGAAGCGAAAGTATTAAAAGTGAACGACCCTGACCTTGAAAGGTTGAATAAAAATGTCAGAGTACATTGCACTGTGAAGTTTGATCATATGCCCATCTCTTTTTATCCTGTGCGTTAAGTATAACGTTATCCTTATCTACAAATCAATAATGGTAGAGTCGAATCTGCTTAGTGTAGAGTCGAAAATAAAAATAAACTACTGAATCGGAGTGAACTGTGGCATGCGCTGTACCGTAGCCGTGGAGCTACACGTTCGAATAGCAACTGTCTCTCTCCAACACACTAGAATTCCATATCAAATATTCAAAATAAGAATCTTGGAATAACAATTCAAATGATCTTGTAGACTTATTCCTATTCGCTTAAGCGAATAATACAACAAATTTGAAATAAGAACGTTTGGTAGTTTTTAATGTTCTGTCACTGTGAGGCTTGTAAAAGGCATTAGAATTTTCATTTCTGAATCGCGCTATTGACATTTTAGCGAAAGTTCGTATATAAGACTTGAACTCATTATTTCTAATGGGAGGTCCGTAGCTACTGCGTGGGCCGGTACTGGCAGGGATCCGGTCTGCTTCCCTGCTACCCGCTCTATAATGAGAATTAAGCTCGATAGAAAGAGAAAATGAGAATAGAAACTCAGAAAAAAGATATACTGCGACAAACTGTTGAAAACTGAAAAAAGAGGCTAAGGCCTCATCCACACGCTAGTAGCTGATTTGACTTCCTTTTTGTTGAACGACATGCGACCTAGCCTACTATACCGTTCAGGCCAAGCCAAAATCAGGGAATCAGTATTTTTTATCAACTTGAGATTTTCATTGTAAACTTTATAAAATGCAATAATTTGCACGGAAGCATAACAATTAATGTTTTTTACCGTCTAGTTTTTAAGATATTTTAAAAGGCTATCATAAATTTGTTTTTTTTTTTCCTTTTTTCCTACCTATGCTGATAGCCTTGATAGGCTATATCAGCTTCTCCTTGACGTGTAGGTAACGGGACTCAAGCCGGGTGTGTTGCTAATACTGGCCCTAGCAAGAGCAGGGCTTCGCAAAATCTACGACGGATCAGAAACGCGACCCACTGAGAAGATCCGGCGAGAAACTCAGTGGGCGAATCTTGATAAAAGTTACAAGATTCTACTAGATTTTTGTTTGATAGCCGCAATCTGTGGCCCGTAGGAAGCGCTTACGTTTACGTTCGTTGGTTACGTTTTACTGGTGGTAGGACCTCTTGTGAGTCCGTGCGAGTAGGTACCACCACCCTGCCTATTACTGCTGTAAAGCAGTAATGCATTTCGGTTTGAAGGGTGGGGCAGCCGCTGTAACTATACTTGAGACCTTAGAATTTATATCTCAAGATGGGTGGCGCTTTTGGTGGGCTGTGAGCTGGTCCACCCATCTAAGCAATAAAAAAAAACCTTCACGCGGCTCACGGATGACCCTCGTGGCCCAAACGGTTCAGTAAAGTAAGGCTGACCAGTGAGCACCGTGGCCTGAATGAAAATATTTGATTTTTCATGTGGCGTACAGCGTGTTATCAACCTTTTACGACATTACTGTCTTAAACCAAGACACTATTAGAGTTTTGATTCAACATTAATGTTGTTTTACGATTAAGTTTATTGTTTTAGTTTCATTTATATCGCGTATTCAGCGTATTTCGCGCTTTTTATGCGTATTGAGAGTCCCTTTCGAGAGTCGCTTTCCCGCGTGGTCAGTGAAAAGCGTCACGTATTTTTTTTTTAATATTAGCTGACAAGGTAGACTTCGTACTTAGTGCCTCAATCGATAAATAAAATACCTAAACTTTTGTATAAAATAAACTTAAAACAAACAAAAGGAATCCGTCCGACGGGGGACACGTCAAAGGATAAACAAAATTGTTATTTTTATTTAACTCTGGACTTCCACAAATAATTCAAGACCAAAATTAGCCAAATCGGTCCAGCCGTTCTCGAGTTTTAGCGAGACTAATAAACAGCAATTCATTTTTTTTTAAAGATTACAAAAAAATTCCCGCAGGAACTAGATGTCACTACTGACCTGTAACTGTCACTAAAAACAATCAACTTATTTGCTTCGTTTCAATAATAAAGGACGCCAAACAAAATTACTTGCACATATTTTATTTTTTCAATCAGTAAGTAATTACAATTAATTTATTCCCTTATATTGGAGCTCTCCAAGTGACGTACGTTTGTGGGCGAATTAAATTTACTATTACAAAAGCTGGAAGACCGCAGAAAAATATATTTTCAAAAACAAAACACTTTCCGGGAATTCCCCCAAGAATAGTAAAAGATAGCTTCACTTTTAAATTATGTCATGGATATGGAATGTTACAAGAATTAAGATAAATTATACCGAATATTAATTATATTTTTTGACAAAGAATTTTAATAACCAAACTATTTATATCCAAAATTATTTTCTGATTAAAGCACGCAAGCTCTTTGAACAAATTACAATTGTGTTTTATTTAAATTTGGCTCATTTAAGATAGAAAGGACAGAAAGCATTTACCGAAATTCTGTGAACGTAATCACTAATTAGGTACCTAACTAAACCTAGTGAAGTGGCTGAGATTTGACTTGAGTCACTTGAGACTTGAGTCACTTACAGTTTGAACAAAGCACACTGTATGATTATTTTTTCCTACCTATGATGATAGCATTGATAGGCTATATCAGCTTTACCCTAGCATGTAGGTGAGCTCTTGGGGCTCAAACTGGATGTGTTGCTAACACCGGCCCTAGCAAGAGCAGTGCTTCGCAGAATATACCACCGGATCGGAAACGCGACCCACTGAGATAATCCGGCGAGAAATTCTGTGGGCTGTTCTTGTTGTAAGCTCTATGCTCTATCGACTCTAACGTGGAGATGCGACTCTACATTACAATACGTACATTATGATGCATTACACGCTCGTCATTGATATTGTGTCATCTTCATCAAAAAACAGTTCACGATTATTTCAAAGCAATTTTAGATATACTTAAATAACTTCTGTTTTACTTCTTTTTCCCTACCTATTCTAGTAACACGAGGGGCTATTTCAGCTTCTCCTTGTCGTGTAGAGGAGCTCAAATTCAAAATACAAATTCAAAATCATTTATTTCAACTTAGATGTCAGTATCACACACTTTTTGAATGTCAAAATATAAATAACAATGTGAACTCTACCACCGGTTCCAAAAAAAAGCCACAGTCCTCCTCACGGGGCTCAAGCCTGACGACGTTGCTAACACTGACCGGCCCTAGCAAGAGCAGTGCTTCGCAGAATCTACCACCGGATCGGAAACGCGACCCACTGAGAAGATCCGGCGAGAAACTCAGTGAGCTGTGTCTAAGGGTTAATTTACTCGTCGAGCCCTTCGTCGCAAGCGACGGGTTCGACGAGGACGGTGACCGGTGCTTGAGGTACCTAAAAGCACCGTTAGTGGATCGGAAGAGTCGTAATGACGTGTTTAGGGCGACGTCGACAGTTTACCATTCGGTCCACAGGATCGGGTACGTAGTTTCCGGCGGCCACGACAAGAGGGTTTTCGTGTCGTGCCGCCTTCTCAAAGCGGCGCATTGATACCAACTGTATATACTTACTGATTGAGTAAAGCTCCAGGTCATCATGGAGATCCGCATTCCTTAAGAACCACGATGCTCCGACGGCTATCCTGCAAAAACGGGATTGAATGACTTGAAGGGGTTTCAAATTAGTGCGGGCCGCGTGAGCGAACATTGCACTTGCATAGGTCATGATGTATAAATGAAGTCGTCGTGGCCTAAAGGATAAGACGTCCGGTGCATTCGCATCTAGCGATGTACCGGTGTTCGAATCCCGCAGGCGGGTACCAATTTTTCTAATGAAATACGTACTTAACAAATGTTCATGATTGACTTCCACGGTGAAGGAATAACATCGTGTAATAAAAATCAAACAATATATTAAATATATGTATGTGTATAATAAAAAATCTTACATTTATATCCGTTATCTGGTACCTGTAACACAAGTTCTTTACGAACTTATCACGGGACCAGTTGACGTGGCGTGATTGTTAGTAAATATTTATTTATTTATTTATTTTAATTCATCATGACGACGCTTGTAGCTGTCAGTAAGTATTGTACTTTGTGACGAAGCATGTTGCGGATAACTCTATTGCTGTAATCTGACGAAGCGTGTGGCGGATAATAACATGTACTTTTAAGGTTATTAAAATAATATGTATTTTATAAAAAAAAAGTCCATAATTTATAAATATATAGCGCTAATTACTCAATATACAACGATAAGTAGTCAAAAAAATCTGCCATCTCATTTTCATGATCGCCGGATCTTCTCAGCGGGTCGCGTTTCCGATCCGGTAGTAGATTCTGCGAAGCACGGCTCTTGCTAGTGTTCGCCCCGTCGCAAACGTCAGGTTTGAGCCCCGTGAGCTCACCTACTAGTTCGGTGAATCTAGAATAACCCCTAGAAGTTACTAGAATAGGTAGGGAAAAAGAAATAAAACAGAAGTTATTTAAGTATATCTAAAATTGCTTTGAAATAATCGTGAATTGGTTTTTGATGAAGTTGCACTGACACAATATCAATGACGACTGTGTAATGCATCATAATGTACGTATTGTAATGTAGAGTCGTATCTTCATGCTAGAGTCGATAGAGCATAG